CCTTCTGCCCTCCCCACTGAATCCCTGAGCGTGCTCCAGCTGCTTCTGTTCACTTTCACCAAGTTCACAGACATGTGGAAGCTGCTCTCTCTGATTTTTTTCCCCTAAACCATTCTGTGGGACAGCAGGGATGTTGGGATTGCCCGTCCCAGGCTGCACGGGTGAGGGGTTTGGGGTGGTGTGACTGAAAATGGCCCTGCTCCAAACTGGGTTTGGTGTCGGGATGGGGAATGGGCAGGTGAGCAGAAGGGAAGTTGCCCAGTGGTGCTTGGAGTGGATTTGCTGTGGGTCACTCTGTGAGCCTGGGGGATACCTGTCCCAAAGATGTCCCAGGAACGCCATCCCAAACGTGTCTGTTCCCCCGGGGGGCTTTGTGCCCTTGTCCCGTGCCAGCACTGACCTGGCTCCCTCGCAGGCCTTGCCCAAGTCCCTGGGCAAGCTGGGCAAGCTGACGAACCTGAACGTGGACCGGAACCGGCTGACGGCGCTGCCAGCAGAGATCGGGGGCTGTGCCAACCTCAGCGTCCTGTCCCTGAGGGACAATCGGCTGGCACTGCTGCCCCCCGAGCTGGCCAACACCACCGAGCTGCACGTGCTGGACGTGGCTGGCAACAGGTGAGCAGCAGCAAGGTGAGCTGCACGGGCTGGGCTCGTGTGGGCAGGTGTGGACGAGCCCAGGCTGCTTTGCTGAGGGCTGGAGCTTTGCTGTGAGCCCCCTCCCTGTGAGGCACAAGGGTCAGGGCATTTCATCATCTGGGAAACGCAGCAGGGGAAATCCCTGGCCGCTGGCTTCCATTCCTTCTGCAGATTTTGTGTCACTAGTCCTCGTTTGTTTGGTGCCAAAGCCTTGTTCATGGTGTGTGGGTGACTGGGAGCTGTTCTGGAAGGTTCTGTGGTTCTCTTTGTTGGGGTTGTTGCTGTTCTGGAAGGTTCTGTGGTTCTGCTCTCTGGGGCTGGTATTTTTGGGAGCAGTTGGACCCTGACCAGGGGTTCTGTTGGGAACATTCTGTGCTCTGGTCTGTGAGAGCATTGGGGTTTTTTTGCTTCTGGTTGGTTGGGTTTTTTGGTTTTTTTTGTTTGGCTTTTTTTGTTTGTTTGTTTGTTTTTTGGGTTTTTTTTTGTTTTTTGTTTTGCTGGAGGGGGCTGTCCTCTGCTGGAGGCTGGTGGGGATATGAGATACTGGAGCCCAGTGCACAGCCATGGACAAATCCAGCCTTGCAGTGGGCAGGGCTGAGGGGTCACAGCAGCCTGGCCCTGCCCCTCTGTTCAGGTGGGGCAGTCTGGAGCTCAGGTGAAGCTCCTTCCTGACCAGGTCAGTTTAACAAACTCTTCTCTCTTGCAGGCTGCAGAACTTGCCCTTTGCTTTGACAAATCTTAACCTGAAGGCCCTGTGGCTGGCAGAAAACCAGTCCCAGCCCATGCTGAAATTCCAGACCGAGGACGATGAAAAGACAGGAGAAAAGGTTCTCACTTGCTACCTGCTCCCCCAGCAGCCCTCTCCCAGCCTGGGTAAGAACCTGCATCACCAGCACAGGCTGCAGAGCCTGGGGCTCTGGAGGGGATGAGGACTTGCACCTTCTCTGCTGGGTTGGATTGGCCCTTACTGGGGTTCCTGTGGCAGATCCTGTGTGGCTGGGACACCTTTCCTAGGCAGGAACGCTTAAAACTGCCAGGTGATAAAGCCCTGCAGCCTCATCTTTGAGTGTCCTGCTTGGATTATGAAAATTTACCAAAAGCTGACCAAACAGTTAATTTTCATGGTCCTGTCAGCATGGCATTCCTGCCTTAATTCTACCTTTTCCTGCACTTCTTGGGTAAGGAGTGCTAGAGCTGAAGCATCAGAGCCTTCTGGAGGTCTGGTGGGACACGGGCAGGAGGTGACAGGATGCTGAGGCCACAGCCTTTGTCCTCAAGGCCTCTGATGCCAGGGCAGATACAACAGAAGTGCCCTAGTGGGATGAGAACTGACTTCCAGCTGGGTCTACAGCCCTGCTGTTCCCAAAAGGAGCTCCACTGTGTTCTCCTCCTCCCCAGAGAACCTCCTGCAGAACAGCGTGGATGAGAGCTGGACAGACACCAACCTGAACAGAGTCAGTGTGATCCAGTTCCTGGATGAGCCCAAAGGAGAGGAGGACGAGGAGTCTGGAGCTGAGAGACGAGTAAGGAATTCCTGAGCCTTGTTGGCTCCCTGGGGAAGCACAGGGACGAGCCAAGCTTTCCAAAGGTGGGGATCCACTGTGCTGTGATGGTCCAGCCTGTGGCTCTGCTGCAGGCAGACTCTCAGTGCCCTGAGGACCCAGGCAGGAGTGAAGGGGAAAGAATTCCCTGGGAGCTGTGCTGCAGCCAGGTGTGGAGCTCTGCCGTGCCCAGGGAACGTCCCAGATGTGCAGAGATGCCAGCAGAGCAGTGTCAGGGCAGGGTTTTAGCTCAGCCCAGCATGGGGAAAGGCTGAACCCAGGCCATCCCCATCCCTCCAAGCATGAGGCAGTGCAGCCCGTGCTCTGCAGAGTCCTGTTAGTGCAGTGCTGAGCTCTGTAACCAGCCTCAAATCCTGCAAGACATTGTTGTGCTTCCAGTGCAGATGCAAAGGTCACCACAGGAGTTTTCAGCAAGTGCTCTGAGGCTTTCATTCTCTTGCAGGACTTTATTCCTTTTTAGCTTATGGAAAGGCATCCTTGAGATCTGAATCCTTGTAATGAATGGTGTTTGCAGCTGTGCTGGCAGTGTGTGTGTGCAGTTGGCATTGGGAGGTTTGGGGGTTTTTTTATTTGTTTTTAACATTGTTATTAGTTTTAGAATGTTGGTTTTCTTGACTCTCCATCTGGGATGGAGCTCTCACTAAGCAGCACCAGTTTCTGCTGCATTTGGGCTTGGCAGACCTGTTCAGTCCAGAGGAATTGGGAGGATATCCCAGGATTTCTCACCTGTGTTCTGGAGCAGTTTCTGTGTCGATAGTTTTTCATTTACTAAGCCTCAAACACCACTTTAACCTTCCCAACTCATTCTTCTCAAACCCCCATCAGCTGCAGAGCAGGGTGGTGTCCAGAGAGCTGCCAGGGTTCCCTGCCTCTGCTCTTTCCCTTTCCAGCTGCAGGCTGGGTGGGGCCTGGAGCAGATCCTGCAGCAGGATGTGTTGGTCACATCCCCTGGGGCTCTGGCTGTCTGGTGAAGGTGTTGGTTACCTGCACAGGTGTGTTCTGTGGTGCCAGGCTGGAATTGCCTGCCGAGGGTTTCCCTTTGCCAGGGCCTGGAGCAGGATGTGTTCAGGCTCTGGCTCTCTGGTGAAGGTGTTGGTTACCTGCACAGGTGCATTCCCAAGGCTGGCACGTGGTGCCAGGCTGGAATTGCCTGCCGAGGGTTTCCCTTTGCCAGGGCCTGCAGCGCCGAGCCACGCCCCACCCCAGCGAGCTGAAGGTGATGAAGAAAGTGATCGAGGTCCGGCGCAACGAGGTCAACGCTGCAAGGGCTGATGCCAACCCCAGCTCTCCCAACTCAGATGTGAGTGCTGCTGGTCCCTGGGGAGTGGACAACCACAGAGGGCTTGGGGTCGTGGAATGGTTTGGGTTGGAAGGAATCTTACACACCATCGAGTTCCATGCCATGGGCAGAGACGTCTTCCACATGTGGGAAATGGGAGGTGGAAAGGAGTGCTTTTGGGAAAGATTGGGAGGGATTGAGAAGGGATTTCCTGGGAAGGTTGGGAATCTGCCTTGAGATGTCATGGGGGACCTGTGAAACAGAGCAGGAGATAGAACAGTGTAAGGGGAATTGTGTGTCAGTGCCAGTTTTGTCACAGCACAGGGAGAGAAGAGAAGGCTCTGATATTCCCAGTAAAGAATGTTGGGAATAGAGCTCTTGGAGGAGGCACCTTGCTGCCCCTGAGGGAGGATCAATGTCCCTGAGGATCAGTGTCCCTGAGGATCAGTGTCCCTGGGGATCAATGTCCCTGAGGATCAGTGTCCCTGAGGATCAATGTCCCTGTATCAATGTCCCTGAGGATCAATGTCCCTGGGGATCAGTGTCCCTGTGGATCAATGTCCCTGGGGATCAGTGTCCCTGGGGATCAGTGTCCCTGAGGATCAATGTCCCTGGGGATCAGTGTCCCTGAGGATCAATGTCCCTGAGGATCAGTGTCCCTGGGGATCA